GGATACAGGATCCTTTCCGGCGGCGTATGAATACGCTCACCCGCACCCCTACGGACCTACAATTGAGGTGAGCGTAGGGGGGGTCGTACGGCCGTGTAGCCCCATAGAGAAGGAGAGGGGCTGCGTACTAATCACACGCAGCTCCTATCCTTCCCGGCAGCTACTTGGTACAGCCCGGCACGCAGCACGGAGCTGTATGTGTAGGCAGATGTGTGTGAATGGGGCCTAAGGGTGCTGCACATGTAAATAGATGTAAATAGCAGCATAAATCTATGTCCTGGTTCATTCATATACTGCGTATGTGTGTATAGCTCTGGTGCCTGTGGCCTCTAAGAGGTTATATAGTCCCTTGTCTTCTTAGTGGGCTGTCAGCAGATTGAGCTAGGTACGGAGCGCTTACTCCACCTGCTGTAAAGTGAACCTGTTACAAAAACACAAACAAGGGGCGCCATTCCTGGTGCAGACACATTTATTTGAAATAAAAGCAATAAAAGATGAGAATCATACTCGCAAAGGTCGACCTGAATAAAGCATTGTGAATGAATACATGGACCAAAGTATAAGCCAGTGACCGCTGCACAGCCGAGCCTCTGTGCCAGCAGGGAGGGCTGTGATGACGCGTTTCTGGGGTCACACCCCCTTCATCAGATACCTGCTGTAGTCAAGGTACAAGTTCACTTTAAGTGGTCGGTATATTTTCATGTATTGCTGGCTGATAGTCGTATTCACACGGCGTTCTACCACGGCACCTACGAAGTCTCTCTGATATGGGGAGAGTTGCTCCTGTTACCATGACCGATCCCTTTAATTATAGCAGAGGACAGTGATTGACAGATCTGCCTCTCTTCTCTCCGGGCAGCCATTTGTCTTTTCATTTCTGTGTCCAGGCAGCCGACACATCGAGCAATGATGGCGACCTTCTGGTAACATTAAACTTAATTTTATGTACTTTGCTCGGCAACCATTAAGAAGACCATCACTGAGCTATGTTACCATGAGACCAATGTAATATCAGCAAAGCTATGACCGCTTCTGTGCAAAGTAAAACAAGGGCTGATGTATAAATCTCCATTACCGCCACTAGATGGCGCTGAAGAGCATTGTGTGAAAGTTTGGGTCTGTGTAAATGGACTTTGCTACCTTCAAGCAGGTTTTGCATGTTAATAAAAGTCTATGGCAGAGGTCGGCAACCTTAAACACTCAAAGAGCCATTTGGACCCGCCTCCCACAGAAAAGAAAGCACCGGGAGCCACAAAACCCTTTTGACATCTAAAATGAAGATAACACTGCATATATAATTGTTTACCTTTTATGATATCTATAGCATGTATATAGGTATGTGTGGGCTCAGTAACGCACTGGACTCTGGGCTCAGTAACGCACTGGACTTACCTGAGACCCTGCAGAGCACACCATAGATCCAGCACAGCCCATCTGAGACTCTTAAGTCCCCCGCCCCCCCCCCACATACACACGCAAACATGTGTCTTCTGCGCCTATGTGCGAAAAGTGTCGATTGTGCCGCACATGTTACAGATCACCGCGAACGTCGGAGTGCAAGCAATAATTTTAGGGCCATTAATCACTGATAACACTAAACTGATATGCGGTAAAATCGATTAAAGCGTCGCCTATGGTCAATTTTCAGTGTGGTCGTGTTTTGCAATTTTAAGGCTTCGCAAAAAATATTGGGGTGATAAATGTTTCATTACATTTGATAGGGAAATGGGGGGGTTTCAAAATTTTCGGTACTTTTTTGTTATATAGTAAAAAATAAAAAACCCCAGCGGTGATTAAATACCACCAAAAGAAAGCTCCATGCCCCAAAAAAATGGTATAAAATGTATTTCAGTACAGCGTTGCATGACAGAATAAATGTCAAAGTACCGCAGCGCTGAATAGTGAAAAATGGCCTGGCCAGGAAGGGGTGTAGACACCGCGGTCTTTAAGTGGTTAAAGTCAACCTCAACACTTGGACTGATCTTCTGCTCCAAAAGTATCAGCAGCCAAACATAACAGTGTGATTTGTACAGGCACCATAATTGCACCACTTACAACTCTTGATAACCTTCCTGGGTACAGACATGGCAAACCTGCCACTGACTCCTAATGAGCTGAAAGCAGGGCAGGCACAGGAAACATGTTATTTCAGACATCTGGTTCATAAAATTGGCAAATCAGCTTCAGAACCAGAGACAAAGCCGTACACGGGTTATATTTATAGGTGTAATACAGTAAATGTAGCGGTGAATGTGCAGCATATTGCGGGATTCTAACACCAAAATATCTATCCACATATACTAAACATATGAAGACCTGTACTAAGAGTTCTTTGCGTGTAAATAGCTGTGTGTCACCATTTCCAAAAAAAAGTAACCCAAAGTACATGACATATTTCTTTCTTTTTGCTCTTAGATAGAAGATGAGACGCTTACTCTCCAGGTGAGCGCCAACCAGCCCGTGCCAGCTCCTGATTCCTGCCTCAAGACTCCTGACCCAGCTGCACCACCTACAGAGCCTTCCCCTCTAGACAAGAGCAAAGGTTTCTTCACAGATGAGTCTGAACCTCTCCTTCGCTGTGACTCCACCTCCAGCGGCTCCTCGGCTCTTAGCAGAACAGGTTCATTTATAACCAAAGGTAATGATATTGGCGTTAACACTCTCTGATTTAAATAAAATGACACTTGGACTATCGTAATCAACATAATGCCAGGAGAGGATAGGGATGGTAAGCATTGTGCTGGTTTGTTTCAGCAACGATGTCCAATATTGGAGCTGTGGGACACCTATGGATCTTTTAGTGTGGTGTATGCTACTCTCTATTGGTTGAAAA